GTGTGAGTGTGCGTGTGTGTGCGTATGTGTGTGTGCGTGTGTGCGTGTGCGTGTGTGAGTGTGTGAATGCTTTCAGGGAAGTCGTGTGCTGTATACGCAACTGCGCACAATTCTGTGAGCCACTTATTACTGCTTTGCCGTTACTTGTTGCCAATTGGCCACGTTCTGTTCGCGTGACAACCCTCACTAGTTGACCGTGTCGGATGGTGGCGGGTTTTGACGACACGTTTAGATATTTACGCGAAGAAAAAAAACCTCTATTATTGATGATATTGGTCCAACGTCCCGTCAGCGAGCTGTGCAATATTCCTTAAGGACCCTGCTTGCTGCTGCTGTTCGCTGCGATGTTTGATTTTGATTTGTTGCTGCTGCTGCTGCTGCGACCACGGGGAGAGAGAGACACGCAAACTCTACAGCAGGCGTCAGGGTCGGGATCGAACCCACGCCCTCCTGTACACCAGGCGAGGTAGTTAACATCTCCTAGCCACTGTGATGATGATGAGAGAGAGACACGCAAACTCCAAATATACAGCAGCAGGCGTCAGGGTCTGGATGGAACCCACGACCTCCTGTATACCAGGCGAGGTAGTTAACATCTCCTAGCCACCGTGATGATGATGATGAGAGAGAGACACACAAACTCCACATATACAGCAGGCGTCGTCAGGGTTGGGATCGAACCCACGACCTCCTGCATACCAGGCGAGGTAGTTAACATCTCCTAGCCACCGTGATGATGAGAGAGAGAGATACACAAACACCAAATATACAGCAGGCATCAGGGTCTAGATCGAACCCACGACCTCCTGTACACCAGGCGAGGCAGTTAACATCTCCTAGCCGCCGTAGCCATCTCGATCGACGTTCAACGATTGCATCCCAGCAAGCACAGCGACCGTCGGCTCCGTTGTGCTGTACTGCCTGTGCACCCTCGTGCATTTTCCTTCCTCCGCTGTTTGTAGCACAATAACAACAACGCGTTGTTCGCGACCTTTTTTGTTCGCTTAGCTCATTCATCCTCAGCGCCACCACTTTGTGGCGCTTTTCGCGAAATCGACCCCCGTCCATCGGCGAGGCCCTGCGGCTAAGGGATCGGACGATTCGCACTCCGGAGGGAGGCCGTAAGCCTGACAGAGTGCTGTCTTTAGCGAATCATCCATTCACCCATTTGTTCACGCGCGCACACACTCGCACGCAAAGGCTAAGATCCCCTCCCCCCCCCGTGTAGCCTGTAACAGACTGTAGGGGCAAGTGCTGTTAGCGAGCACCTACGAAGGCCGGCACGGCACACGAGGGGGCGGGTGGCCAGCACCACGCCCGGCCGCCTTTGTCTCCCCAGTGGCGATGTTTACACAGCGCACCAGGTGCTGGTGGTAGGCCGTGAGTGGGAATCGAAACTCGGTTCGCCACGGGTTCGTAGCGCGGCGTGCCAACCACTGAGCTACCGCTCCCCCACCCTGAACGTGCACACGGACACACGCGCACACACGCGCGTGCGCACACACACACACACATGCACATGCACACACGCACATGCACACACGCGCACACACACACGCACACACACACACACGCACGCACACACACACACACGCACGCACACACACGTGCATGCATACACACGCACGCACACAAACACACGCAATCGCAAAGCGTGCATGTGCTGTACGGGGCCCCTGGTGGGGGGAGAGGGGGGAGGGAGTCACCTCCAAGACGAACGCGTCCCGCCGATCGGAGCGCGCTTAATTATTTACTGGCCCGTTTAAAAATATAAAACAGCGGCAACAACAAAAACACGAAATCAATGAACGACGCTCGCGCCCCTCCCGGGAGGCACCGCGATCGTCAAGGGCCGCAGAGACGCGCATGCAGGTCAACGGCACGCGTGTTCCACGCGCGTGTCACGCCCGTGGGTTGTCGTGTCGCTCGTGGGTGGTGGGGACGGGGGACGGGACGGGGTCACGGCCGGTGCATCTGCCGGACGACCTCACGGCACCGGGCGGGAGCGAGGTGACCCGTGACCTCCCGTCAGAGCGGCTCGAAAAACTAAAACCGAGACACGTTTGCGGAGACGCGGGGTTTTTTTGACGGCGACGCGAACACACCCCGCTGGGCGTACGGCACGCGTGTCACACGCGTTCACGGCGTGACGTGCGGGCGGCGCCGCATTGGAGGCGAGATGTTGACTACCTCGCCTGGTACGCAGGAGGTCGTGGGTTCAATGCCGACCCTGACGCCTGCTGCTGTATATTTGGCGTTTGCGTGTCTCTCTCTCTCTCTCCGTGGTGAGATGTTGACTACCTCGCCTGGTCTACAGGAGGTCGTGGGTTCAATGCCGACACTGATGCCTGCTGTATATTTGGCGTTTGCGTGTCTCTCTCTCTCTCCGTGGTGATATGTTGACTACCTCGCCTGGTACGCAGGAGGTCGTAGGTTCAATGCCGACTCTGATGCCTGCTGTACATTTGGAGTTTGCGTGTCTCTCTCTCTCCGTGGTGAGATGTTGACTACCTCGCCTGGTACGCAGGAGGTCGTGGGGTCAATGCCGACCCTGATGCCTGCTGTATATTTGGAGTTTGCGGTGTCTCTCTCTCCCACGTGGCTTTTACTCCGAGGTCACTCCACATTTAGATTCCACGTGCGTTCCAGAGCACCTGGCTGCAAGACATTTATATCTTGACGCTGCAAAAGACAAAGATCCCCCGCGTAGCCTTTGACACCATGTCGGGGAGACCGCTGTTCGCGAGCTTGTACAGAGGGCGTACGAGTGGGTGGGTGGGTGGTTTGGGGGGGGCAACACCACGTCTGGCTGACTTTGTGTCCCTCTCTGCACGTGGATTTTTCACCTCCACGTTTCTCGCGGACGTCGCGCGCTCAAGAGTGTTTGGCTGACATCAATGTCCACATGATGACGACGATGATGATGATGAAAAGCGCTACGTAGATCAGTGGGACTTAGCTGGTGAAAGATCGCAACGCACCAATAGAAGCCCTCTTAACGACCACCCCTGCTAACGAATCATCGCTACGTAGAGCTCAATGTAGAGCGTAGTGTATAGTGTAGTGTATAGCAGCGTACGGTAGTGTAGTGTATAGTGTAGTGTATAGTGTAGTGTATAGTGTAGTGTATAGTAGTGTACAGTAGTGTAGTGTATAGTAGTGTAGTGTATAGTAGTGTATAGTGTAGTGTATAGTGTAGTGTATAGTAGTGTAGTGTATAGTTTAGTGTATAGCAGCGTATAGTAGTGTATAGTGTAGTGTATAGCAGTGTATAGTGTAGTGTATAGTAGTGTAGTGTATAGTAGTGTAGTGTGTAGTAGTGTAGTGTATAGTAGTGTAGTGTATAGTAGTGTATAGTGTAGTGTATAGTAGTGTAGTGTATAGTAGTGTAGTGTGTAGTAGTGTAGTGTATAGTAGTGTAGTGTAAAGTGTAGTGTATAGTAGTGTAGTGTGTAGTAGTGTAGTGTATAGTAGTGTATCGTAGTGTATAGTGTAGTGTATAGTGTAGTGTATAGTGTAGTATATAGCAGTGTATAGTGTAGTGTATAGTAGTGTATAGTGTAGTGTATAGTAGTGTATAGTGTAGTGTATAGTAGTGTATAGTGTAGTGTATAGTGTAGTGTATAGTGTAGTGTATAGTAGTGTATAGTGTAGTGTATAATAGTGTATAATGTAGTGTATAGTGTAGTGTATAGTGTAGTGTATAGTAGTGTATAGTAGTGTATAGTAGTGTATAGTGTAGAGTATAGTGTAGTGTATAGTAGTGTATAGTGTAGTGTATAGTGTAGTGTATCGTAGTGTATAGTAGTGTATAGTAGTGTATAGTGTAGTGTATAGTGTAGTGTATAGTATAGTGTATAGTAGTGTATAGTAGTGTATAGTAGTGTATAGTGTAGAGTATAGTGTAGTGTATAGTAGTGTATAGTGTAGTGTATAGTGTAGTGTATCGTAGTGTATAGTAGTGTATAGTAGTGTATAGTAGTGTATAGTGTAGTGTATAGTGTAGTGTATAGTGTAGTGTATAGTGTAGTGTATAGTAGTGTATATCAGTGTATATGTTCAATCGTGCCCGCTGCGCATTTGAAGGTCCTTGTGCCGCTCGCCTTCGCCTGACGCCGTTTGAGACTAGGCCCCGAACAAATATGTCTCCGGCTTGAACCAATCAGCTTCAAAGACAATTCCCAAGCGCGGTTAACGCAGGCAGCGATCCCTCGAAAGAAAACGTTTCCGTTCGGTGCCACGACGTCTTAACGTGACCGTCGGCTAAATCCGATTCCGACGGTGAGCGTACGCGACCATCAGGAAAACGCATCGAAGCAAACGAAAATACGAAGACACGGATGGTGGTGGTGGTGGTGGTGGGGGGGGGGGGGGGGGGGTGACAGGCAGGCAAGCAGAGAGGGCGTGGAGACACGGGGCCCTGGGAATTTCTTGGGACACGAAGGAGACACGGGGACACGGGGACAGAAGAATCGAGGACACGGAGACGACACAGGCACACGGGGATACGTGGACGTGGGGACGTGATGGGGACTCGGAGACACTGGACGCAGAAAAAATTAACCCGTAGAAACAAAGTTTTTCACTATAAATCCTTTATATGCGTGGCGGCTAGAGTCCTCTCGTCCTCTGGTTTGAGATGGCTGCCACCTATGGGTCAGATGATTGCCTGCCACCATTAAGCAATTGGTAATTAAATTTAATTTATTTTTTCCTAAAAAGTGTACAATTTTTGAAAAAAAAATTTTCACGAAAATAAATTGTCACGCACAACGAGTCTGTGTGCAGAATATCAGCTCGATCGGATCACGGGAAGTGGGTTAAAAAACGACCGAAAGATTTGCACGGTCGTAAGCGCGTAAGCGCGCAAGCAAGCGAACTTAATATAAAGGATTTAAAAAGAGGGACGACACACCTGGACGGGTGCCAGTGCGACGCAGGCGGGGGGGGGGGGGGGGGGTGGTGGACGCGGGGGTGGACGCAGCGTCGCCCAGGCTCACCTCCTTGGAGCGTGCGACCTGAGCGATTGCGGCCGTGCGCTGCTTGCTGAAGGCGTCGTCCCCGGAGGCGTCACGCCCCTCGGCGGTGGCGGCGGGCTGCAGGCTGCGGCGGGCGTCAAGCTGGCGACGCGCCTCCGCTGAGTCCTCGCTGTCGCCCGCGGTGCGCTGCGGGGCGGGGAGACGCGGTCATCGTCATCACACCATCGTCATCGTCATCACACCGCCATCATCATCATCGTCATCATCACACCATCGTCATCATCATCACACCGCCATCATCGTCATCATCATCACATCATCATCATCGTCATCACACCGCCATCGTCATCATCATCACACCGCCATCATCACACCGCAGAATCCAAATATACAGCGGGCATCAGGGTCGGGATCGAACCCACGACCTCCTGTATACCAGGCGAGGAAGTTAACATCTCCGAGCCACCGTGATGATGAGAGAGAGACACGCAAACTCCAAATATACAGCAGGCGTCAGGGTCGGGATCAAACCCACGACCTCCTGTATACCGGGGGAGGTAGTTAACATCTCCTAGCCACCGTGATGATGATGATGAGAGAGAGAGAGAGACACGCAAACTCCAAATATACAGCAGGCGTCAGGGTCGAGATCGAACCCACGACCTCCTGTATACCGGGCGAGGTCGTTAACATCTCGGCACTGTGGTGCCCCTTCAACTGCAGCTGGGAGATGCGTTTCCCTGCCGCCTCTTGTGCCATCGAACAAAAACTGCGGTCACCCCCAAAACGCACAGCACTTTCAGATGCGCTCCAGCGGCCGTCTGGAATGCTCTGATGTTAGGAAGCGACTGGGAGCTGTACACTTTTAAATCATCATCAAGAGTGACAAACTCAGAGCTTCTTTTTCCGTACTAACTTTGTTTTCACCACGGGAACCCCATTTGCCAGAAAAAATATGATAATTGGTTTTTTACCCTTCTATCTGGCAACAAAACTGATACCTTTTTACAAGGAGTCATGTTTGCATAGACCACAATACCTGCAGTCATAATACAAACAAAAGACATAACTCTGATAATAAAAAACAATTATCATATTTTTACTGGCAAATGAGGTTCTCATAGTGTAGATGCTTGTCCCGAGCTCTCATACTCTGATGGTGCATTGTCTTTGAGTTGTGCGCCTTTTGGCGTCATCTGGTCCAACCCATGTGAGACTAGGCTCTAAGGAAAGCTGTCTCGGGTGTGGACCAATCAACTTCAAGGACAGTGCATACATTATCAGAGTTATGTATTTTGTTTGTATTATGACTGCAGGTATTGTGGTCTATGCAAACATGACTCCTTGTAAAAAGGTGTCAGTTTTGTTGCCAGATAGAAGGGTAAAAAAACAATTATCAAGTTTGTTTTCCTTCCGCCGCGCGATAGAATTCCAACATGCGTATGCTGTACGTGGAATGCAGCTGAACTGTCAGATGCAATGGGAATTAAACAATACGTAACACGAAAAAATAATGACGATCATTCCTGATTCTTCACGTCAGCTTTGGCTCGTTGTTGTAAACGTAAAAAAAGGCTCAAGGGCATCATTCTACCCTTGAAACTATCTGCTTTGTGTGCAAATATTTAGGAAATGTTCATGCTAATGTCGTGCCAACATTAAAAAAATGCCCGGGTCCCACTTTGCCGATGATGTTCGTTATTCTAGTTTTGTGCCAGCGGATTTTTACAATGTATTAAACGATACATTCCTGAGATTAAAAAAAAAAGTTTACTATTATTTTTTGCTGTTATTTTCTCTATTCGAGGGTTTCACACACATTCATTTTCCAACAATGCCAAGGATACGCTACATCTCCCATCAAGAGTTCGGCTTCCATCATGCTACCCACACGGTTACCATTTGTGACTTACAGATCACAAAAAGTAATATTTTTAAAAACTTTTTTTTAAAAACACGCTTTTATGAAATGTAGCATACTAGTAATGGCAGAACTACACGACTCCAGGAAGTGGTCCCGAAAGTTTGCCACAACGTAAGGGACCGTGGCCAATTACAGCCAACGTCAGTTGAGCGTGGACAATTAGACCCATGCCGAAACGTAACAGAGAAAAAATCATCTTCTTGGTTCTTTCGGTAAAGTCACGTAGAAGGGAAATAATAAAATAATAAAAATAAAACATAATAAAATACAATTCTCACGACGTTTCGGCCACAACGCAAGCAGCCGTCCTCAAGTGAAGAACAGGTCTGTCGGAAAGACAAGCCCATTCAGACTCTGTCTTTTCGACAGACCTGTTCTTCACCTGAGGACGGCTGCTTGCGTTGTGGCCGAAACGTCGTGAGAATTATTTTATTATGTTTTATTTTTATTATGTTTTAATTTCCATTCTACGTGACTTTACCGAAAGAACCAAGAAGATGAATCCCTGCAGTCACGAAAGAAGCTTTAAATCGAAATAGAAAAAAGAATGTTAAAAATAAAAAATGTTCATGATAGAATATAGTATTGTCATCAGTATGACATAAGTATACCAAGTTTGCAGTAGATACAACATTGGGGAGTGGGTTAAAATTGAGTTACAACAACGACAACAACAACGACAACAACAACAACAGACAGAGTGAGTCAAAAGAAAGCGTGTAGTAAAAAGGGCCCAATTCTGCTGCTGCTGCCTTTGTTGCCAATAAACCGCTGTGGTGCCTTCAAATCATCTTCTCGTAGCGCGTACCTCGTTTTTTTTGTTATTTTATTTCCCCCAAATTGCTCTACGGACTTGCGCAGCCATCTGCTGCTTCACGCGTCCGTACAATTTTTGTTTGACTTCCAATCCTCTTACAAGAAGAGGCTTTAACCCTTTCTGGCAGTAATACAACGGTTGCGCACGGATGTTCAAACACCAAAACGAAAAGATTTTTTTTCTGCAAGGAAGCATGTCTGCGTGAAACACACCACCACCACGGTACTTGCGACACGGCCAACTAGTGAGGGTTGTTACGTGAACAGAACGTGCCAATTCGTCACTAGTACAGCACTAGTGTGTAGTGTAGTGTATAGTGTAGTGTATAGTGTAGTGTATAGTGTAGTGTATAGTGTAGTGTATAGTGTAGTGTATAGTAGTGTATAGTGTAGTGTATAGTGTAGTAGTGTATAGTGTAGTAGTGTATATGTTAGTGTGTTGTGTATAGTGTAGTAGTGTAGTGTATAGTGTAGTGTATAGTAGTGTATAGTAGTGGTGTATAGTGTAGTGTATAGTATAGTGTATAGTATAGTGTATAGTAGTATATAGTGTAGTAGTGTATAGTGTAGTAGTGTATAGTGTAGTGTAAAGTGTAGTAGTGTATAGTGTAGTAGTGTATTGTGTAGTGTATGGTAGTGTATAGTGTAGTGTATAGTGTAGTGTATAGTGTAGTGTATAGTGTAGTGTATAGTGTAGTGTATAGTAGTGTATAGTGTAGTGTATAGTAGTGTATAGTGTAGTGTATTGTGTAGTGTATGGTAGTGTATAGTGTAGTGTATAGTGTAGTGTATAGTGTAGTGTATAGTAGTGTATAGTGTAGTGTATAGTAGTGTAGTGTATAGTAGTGTATAGTGTAGTGTATAGTGGTATATAGTGTAGTGTATAGTGTAGTGTATAGTGTAGTGTATAGTGTAGTGTATAGTAGTGTATAGTAGTGTATAGTGTAGTGTATAGTGTAGTGTATAGTGTAGTATACTAGTACAGCACACCGGTGTGTTAGAGACCCAAGCCACAACAACATTAACAATCTGAGTACTTGGACAACATTTACAATCATGCAGACATGATTCCTTGCAAAAGGTTTCTGTTTTAGCATCGCAATACCTCCTGTATTATTGCCAGAAAGGGTAAAATCTCTCCTTATATTTTGAAACTGGCAAGAAAATGTCCATGTTGTTCATCCTAGATTTGAAGCTTTCGTGACTGCAAGGATTCATATTCTTAGGTTTTTTCGGTAAAGTCACGTAGGTTAAATTTTTTAAATAAAAATAAAATAATATCACTTGATACAGCTATCGTGCTGTGACTGAAGACGGAAGCTTGTGTTGCCTCCGAAACGTTGTGATTTTTATTTTATTTTTATTTAACTTTCATTAATTTTAATTTTTTCACCTACGTGACTTTACCGAAAAAACCTAAGAATATGTTGTCCATCCTCTTGCTTGACAAATGTTTTGCGGTCTCATGTAATAATATCACCAGCCATAATAACAATACTATTGCACCGTTAGCTATACATTCCATCCGCACTCCAATCTGTGCATGATAAATAAATGAACACTAAAGCTCACCAACATCACTAGCAACAGAAGAGTGATTACTTCATAGATGTCCGAAACCAGATTTTCGGAAATGCTATTCTAGCCTTGATCAGAAATGTACAATCATATTCTATTAACAAGTATAACCCGTAAAAACAAAGTTTTTCACTATAAATCCTTTATATGCGTGGTGGCTAGAGTCCTCTCGTCCTCTGGCTTGAGATGGCTGCCACCTATGGGTCAGATGATTGTCTGCAGTATTAAACAATTGGTAATTAAATATTTAATTTGTTTTCCCTAAACAGTGCAAAATTTTTGAAAAAAATTTTCACGAACATTAATTGTCTCGCACAACGAGTCTGTGTGCAAAATGTCAGCTCGATTGGATCACGGGAAGTGGGTTAAAAAACGACCGAAAGATTTGCACGGTCGTAAGCAAGCAAGCAAGCAAGTGAACTTAATATAAAGGATTTAAAAAAGAAACGATCAATGAACATCAGAGATCAGCATCAGGCCCAGCCTTGTACAGCAAAGACTCGGACACACGCGGGCTGGGGTTAGGTTCCATGTACCCCCAAACCCTCTCTCTCTGAGTCGTCCTCTCTCTCTCTCTCTGAGTTGTCCTCTATCTCTCTCTCTCTGAGTCGTCCTCTCTTTCTCTCTCTCTGAGTCGTCCTCTCTCTCTCTCTGAGTCGTCCTCTCTCTCTCTCTCTGAGTCGTCCTCTCTCTCTCTCTGAATCGTCATTTCTTTCTCTCTCCGAGTCGTCCTTTCTCTCCGAGTCGTCCTCTCTCTCTCTGAGTCATCCTCTCTCTCTGAGTCGTCCCTATCTCTCTCTCTTGAGTCGTCCTCTCTCTCTCTCTGAGTCGTCCTCTCTCTCTCTGAGTCGTCCTCTCTCTCTGAGTC